GAATTCAAAATAGTTTTAATGAAGTTCAGTGAGCTACAAGAAAATACAGAGAGCCAATCAACAAAATAAGGGAAACAATACATGAACAAAAGAAGAAGTTTAACAGAGAGATAGAAATCATAAAATAGAGTCAAACAAATTTTATAGGTGAAGAATATAACGATTGAAATGAAAAATACAGGTGAGAGCATCAATAAGAGACTAGGTTAAGCAGGAGAAAGAATCTGTGAAGTAGGGGACAGGTTTTTTGAAATTATCCAATCAAGAGGAGAACAAAGAAAAAAATGAAAAAAATGAAGAAAGTCTATGTGAACTATGGGATATCATTAAGAAAAACAATCTATGCATTATTGGAGTCCCAGAAAGATAAAAGAGTGAGAGGCAGAAAGATCATTTAAAGTAATAATGGCTGAAAGATTCCCAAATCTGGCGAGAGATTTGGTCATCCAAATTCATGAAGCTCATAGGTTCTCTCCAAATTTCAAATCAAAAAGATCTTCTCCAAGATACACTATAATAAAACTATCATGTCAAATACACAGGGAGAATTTTAAAAACAAAAAGAGAAAAGAGAATTCCTCACAAACAAGGGAATCCCCATAAGGCTATCAGCAGATTTCTCCCTAGAAACCTTGCAGGCTGGGAAAAAGAGTGGAATGATATATTCAAAGAGCTGAAAGAAAGTTAAAAAACTCCCAACCAAGAATACTTTACCTGGCAAAGTTGCCATTCAGAGATTAAGGAGAGACAATGACTTTCCCAGACAAACAAAAATTTAGGGTGTTCATCACACTAGAGCTTCCTTACAAGAAATGCTGAAATACAGTTCTTCAAGCTGAAATGAAAGGATGCTAATTAATATCATGAAAACATGTGACATACTGGTAAAGGTAAGTATATGGTCAGATTCAGAATATTCTAATACTGTGATATGGTGGTATGTCAATCACTTAACTCTAGTATCAAAGTTAAAGTACAAAAGTATTAAAAATAACTATAGTTACAATAATTTGTTAATGGATACACAATATAAAAAGATATAAATTGGGACATTGAATAAATAAAAAGTGGAAGGGGAATAAAAGGGTAGAACTTTTGTATGTAATCCAAGTTAAGTCATCAGCTTAAAATGGACCTTTATAAGATGTTTTAGTAAACCTCATGGTAAATGCAAAAACCAACAGTAGATACACAAAAGTTAAAGAGAAAGGAACCCAATTATAACTCTATAGAAAATCATCATTCACAAAGGAAGATAGCAAGAGAGTAAGAAAGCAAAAGAAGAACTACAAAGGAGCCAGAAAACAATAACTCAGGTGGTAGTAGTAAGTCCCTACCTTTCACTAATTACTTTAGATGCAAACGGATTAAATTCTCCAATCAAAAGGCATACAGTAACTGCATGGATAAAAAGACCCAACACCAAGTATATGCTACCTAGAAGAAACTCACTTCAGCTCTAAGGACAGACATAGGCTGAAAGTGAAAGGATGGAAAACATATTCCATGCAAATGGGAACTAAAAGACAGCAGGGGTAGCAATATTTATTATCAGACAAAATAGACTTTAAGTAAAAAACTGTAACAGGAGAAAAATGAGGTCCATATATAATGATAAAGGGGTAAATGTTATGATATACCATCTTGGTGATGTTATATCATCAAGAGGATACAACAATTAAACATTTATACACTTACTATTGGAACTTCTAGATACATTAAGCAAATACCAACCGATATGAAGAGAGAAATAGACAACAAAACAATAATAGTAGGGGGCTTCAATACCAAATTTTCAACAATGGGTAGATGGTCCAAACAGAAATCCATAAGGAAACACTGGATACGAACTATACTTTAGACCAAAGGGATATTTCTACTGATTCCATATGGGATTATTATGGAAAGTTAACTCAACTCTATGATGCTCCTGTAAAGAGAAGTTATACACACTGTGAGAAAGACCAAAGATCTAACTATCACTACATTACATTAAATGGGTCAAATAAATTAGAGGAAAGATTCTACTGATTCTGACCAAAGTTGACCTCTACCCTAAGAGTGAGTAGTATCTGTTATGGAAAACTCTGCAAAGAGAATAATAAAAGACTACCTTAGCACATCAAATGAATCCATGAAACAAAAAAGTATTCCAAAGCATCACATGTCAAAATCCTTATAATCCTCAACTTTTCATTCTTCTTTCCTATTTACCACAAACATATTTTAAGGCTAGAGATAATGAGATAATTCCAAGGGACTGAGCTCAAAATAGAATTTGCAGAGGCTTCCTGCACACCCATAAAAATGTCTACCTCATTCCTGGAAAGAGGTGTCAAAGTCTTCATCTCATGTACCCTCTGGGGAGGAATCTGAGAGAATGACTCAGTGTAATAAAAGAGAGTCTTAGGATTGGTTAACTAACTATGCTATAAGCATAGGAGGAGAGAGTGATAGTGTGTGGGCCAGGTATTCTTTCCTTTTCAGTGTCATATTCCAAAGACAGCATGGGGTTAGAGAGCTTCAATTTTTTCCACACTAGCTTTGGCAGGAAAATAAACTTAACAGGATGACAGAATTTCTAAACGCCTTTCAACAGAGCTGTAGTGAATTAATGGACTTCCATGCTTTTGGATATGGCAGGCTGTGGCTGGGTACTTGTCCACAAATGCTTACCCGGAAAATATTGTCATGATCCGTTGGGGCTATAACAAGCAATGTCACAAAATAAATATATACTGGTTAATTAGTAATGTGAATTACGTATTTTTTTTTACAATTAGTATTATGCTTTTTCATTGAAAACTATAAAATGTAATACACTTTAAAAATTGTATTATCAGAAAGATTTCAATGCATAATTAGATGAATGAATGTTAATTGACTCTACTGCAGCATAAAAATCAACATTGATAAAACTACTTATCAATGAACGCAGCAAAGCAGTTGGAGGGAAAAAAGACAATGAGAGTACATTTCTTAGCCAGATGTCTCTTAATTAGGCACCTTTGTACAATGCACAAGCATATTCAGCAGCTCTGAGAATGTGCCATTATTTTCTTCTCTCATCCTTTTGCTTTCTGCCTTCTGTCCTTCAACAAAAATTTCCCATATTAATTCAACCTGCTACTGATCATTTTCCTGAGCATTCCTTCAGTACTAAGAGAAATCACTTAATATCATATAAATTAATGTACTTATTTTAGAAAGGCCTAATCAGCATATTGGTTCTTTGGTGCTGACTTATGGGGAGATGTAACTTCCTGTATCAAGAATAGAATGTATGCACAATCGTAGTAGTTTTCTCAATTAAATTGAACCACCTGCTTGAGAGGTTGCTACCCAGTTTCTAAGGGTTAAGTTCTGGGCCATACAATGAAAAATCCCAACATGCCAACCCCTCTTAAAAAATACAAGTTTATATTTCTCAAAGTCCAATTTTTCTGGAATACAGGCTCCTTCTATCTTTCTGTTCTGATATCTGATAGCTTTGGCACTTGTCCTTGTTGTGAAAGCTACAGATTAGCTCTTCAGTCAGCATCTCATTGAGTTCCAGTTCAGCTGGATGGATGGAGCATGGTCAAAAAAGACATTTTCCTTCCCTTTAAGAAAACTTCTGGATAACTCAACGCACTTCAGTTTACATTTATAGGATATAATGAGTCGTAGAATACAGCTAGCTGCAATAGAAGCTGAGAAATACATCCTTCAACTGACTACATTTGACACAGTATATAAATTCAGTATTCTGTTACTAAGGAGATGGAGAATGCTGGAGAAGATAACTGTATTGTCCAGTACTGATGACCTAATAAAAGTCCCTTGGCTCTACATCTGATTCAGAGAATGATAATAGTAAGAACTACATTTTAATAATATTCAAGCAATCAGATTCTAATCCAGCAGTACTGAAAGCAAAAAGTGTCAACCACAATATATAAGATTGGAACAATAAGTTATTTATGTGGAATTCCAAAGAGGATATTGTGCATATTTCATTTAAGGGGGCTGCAATAAGGGGAATTTTCTATCCAAATGACACCTTCCTCTTCTCTATTCTTTCTCTTTTGCCTTTACATCATTACAGTAATAGATATTCAGCATCTTACCAACCTTTTTATATCATATAAATAATAAGCATTCAGCATCTTATAGTTTTTTCACTATCCTAATATATACATATGACTGTCCATTTTATTGTGATTACTTTTGATAGCAGCAAGTAGGTACTTTCCCAAACTAACATGTAACTAGATTATTATGATTTATTGAATCTTTTATGATAATCAGAATAAATATTAACACCCTCAGTATAATATGAATGAAAGTTACGTATATAGTTTTCGTAGTAATATTTCATGAGTGTTTTGGTTAATTCAAACAAAAAATTAAAAGCTGAATTATCGTACAGTGTGTGCTAGAAGTTACTAATAATATAGGTTATTCATTATATTTAACTTTTGATTTATTTGTCTTTTACATTTACTTCTTTTACTCTGTTAGCATTCACCTACAAACGGAGACAGACCTGTCCATGACAATTCCTGAGAGACAGAAGCAAACTGTTTCCTGACACTCTCCAGTGAGAATAAAACAGGTCTCCTGGGGGAGGGAGGTAGGATAAGGATGCAGAATGAGAACTGAAATATAACATATTCATAATCCATTGTTTTGCAAGAAGGAGGAAAGCTAAATATACCATCATGTAATCAGCACAGCCTTGGATACTTCTGTTTGTGCGTGTGTGTGTTTGTGTGTGCATGTGGAGCTGAGGGCATTCTGGGAGGGACATAATGCTCACTCATTAGATACACGATCTTCCTGAGATCAGATGCAATGCTGACTACAGCAGAAGCTACTCAGTGCACGGTCTTAGAGGTGAGGATTGGGCAGATTTACGTCCTCCGAATTTGGGGAGGTTATAATAAGGGGATGCAGAGAAAATCAGGGAGTGGCTCATCAGAAGCACTAACTGTCTACTTTTTTCCTCAGATGTTAATGGCTAAAGGTATGTGACATAAGTGATGTCTTAAGAAACGAAAGTTATGGAAGACAGTGGATTAAAGTGTGAAAATGGATAATCAATACCTGAAGCACTTTTCAGTTCTGGCCGCTATGTTAATCAATTATTTTCTCATTCTCTGAAGAGTATAACAACTTATCAATTTGCCAGTATCCCAGCCAAAAAATTGCTGTAAGTTGTTCCAAATTAATTATTTCACAGGAAATATATATGCCTCTTATTGTTGGGGAAGGGAAATACTTAGATTTTCCTGTACATGCTAATCCAATCAAATGATAAAATAGTTTCTGCTCGGTTATGTGAAGGTAGCATATTTTTACTATTAGGTCCTCAGTGAGGTGAATATGGGAAATTGTGGAAAGCAATGGGTAACCATCACTACAAACTTTAATGGCCAATTTACATAAATTGTACCTGCAATTAAAGCATTTTAGAAATAACAATTTCCTAATAAAAATTATTTATATTATTGAGTGTGTCCTGTGTGCCAGGCACTGTGCTAAGTGCTTTAGACAGAATATTTAATGATGTATATATAACATGCCTTCCTTTGGCTGATAGGAAATAGAGAAACAATTCGTTATGAAAACAGAGATTAATAAGGGACTGAGTGAGTCAAGGAACATTTCTAATTATGTGGGGCTGACCCAAAATGAATCACTTGTACTGCATTATTTCCAAAGCTGACTTTATAGAGTGTGCTTGTCTTGGATCCTGGGGCTGAGTAAGGTGGCACATGAAGCCAAGCTATTGAGCAATGAAAATTATCTTATCTCCTTCTCCTGTTTCTTTCATATATCCAGTTGTTACTGAAAGTCCATCTCACGATTTAAACCTTCAAAATCTTGCTGATGTTCAATGGCCACTTAATCTTATACTACGTTGAATAGGAACCTATGATATAATTTATCTTTGGGCATGAAACCCCTTTGTCTTTCGATCATACCGCAGTGCCTATTTGCTTGATTACTGACTCTTAATATGGGTTATTTTTATAGACTGATAATAGTAGAGAATATTCCATGCAATATCCTATGAGTTCATTAACATGAGGCTTTAAGGGGAGAGATGTTTTGATGCTGATAAATTGTTTTAATGACTGTTCCTTATTTTTATTCATCGTTTCCCTCTACAATGTTTGCATTTTTAACTCAAATGAACTCAGCAGGAAAGATAGAAAGAGTTTGTCATCATTACAAGGAAATGATAGATCAGAAACTTTATGTCAAGAAAATGTATCAGGTGAAAAACAGAACAGCATCCATGCCAAATTGTTCTTCTGCCTGTGATAATCCTTTGTGCAGACACCTGACCCCTGCCTTGACCATCTCACTCTCTTTCCTTTGGCAATAACTAAAAATAATTCTTTTTATGTACATAAAACTGACCTCTACTACATACATCTCAGGATCCTCAGATTAAGGTCAACAGAGAGTAAATCCTGAAAACAATAAAAAATTTTTAAAAAATAAGATTTTGCCTGGTTCAGTATTATTCCAAGTGATACTTGGATACTCCAAGTGATAGGCAGAGAGAAGAGAATGTGACTACATTTGTTTGTGTTCTCACCTCCAGTGAGTCCTATATGATTTAGTATTTATTTCTAAATGGAGTACCATTATTTGCCAGTTTAAATATTTAGAAGCACTTACAGATCGTCACTACATCTGATATCCTATTTTTCCAGTTATTTCTGAACTTTGTGAAGTTTTAAAATGTGCTTATCATGAGATGACTTTTTTATTCATCCTGTTTAAAAATATCAAATGATTAGCAGCACACATTAGCCCTTGTGCAGTCAGCCCTCACTGTATGCCATCCACAAGGAGGTTTCTCCCATTCTCAACAATCCCTGACTCCCATCCCCAGCACAGGCATCTGCATTTGCTGTCTATAGTCTAAATGGGACAAGGGTATTTATGATGGGAAATCTTCACAATGTCAGCACTTAAGGAGGAGTCGGATATGCTCCTTTTTCTGTTGGGATTTCCCCCTTGGTTTCTCCATCTGTGTCACTGAGGAAACTGCAGTTCCTTCCCAATACAGGGAGATATAGTGGATAAGATACATATTTGTGTATTTAACTGAAAAATGGAATGACAACTCTCCATATCCAGAGTTTTCTCTGTAACTGCATAGTCTGTTATTGAGGAGTCAGGATACATAAGAATATCCTCTTTTGGGTTAAAAATAAGACGATAAGTAAGCCACTGTCTCTGTTTGCTTTGCCTCAGCCTTAACTGTGTTAACATGGGAAATGAATGCATGAGAAATATAGATATTAAATTTAATTACAATGCAAGGAAAATGTTTATAAATGCTTTAATGTAACTGTAAATGCATTCTAATACAGTAATGTGTAAGCAAATTTTCTTATCATCACGTGCACTGAAGGTCCCTGTTATGATGCAAATTTGCTATTTCATATTTAACAGAGTTTGAATCAGTTCACTTGTTTTCTCTCCTTAACTTGTGGGGACTTTTGCACAACTCAGTGATACCCAAATTAGAAATTAAAAAGATCTGTAATACACAACTATTTTTTCCTAGTACATAACATTTAAGTGGCATTTTTAAGTTTGTATGTATGTACTTTTTACTTTTCCTCTCCACCATGGCAGATGATTAGAAAAACAGAAATGGAGATCAAGATAATGAACAGGAAGAATGACTAGGGACTATGATATAAAACTCTCACAAGAGGGAGTAAATATGAAGGTAAATCTATTGTGACAGCACATAAGCATACTGGCACTGCTATTACTAATACTTAGTGTTTAATCACTTTCCTAAGCACTTGTAAAGGAATTAACTCACTTAATCCTCATAGCAACCCCATTAGGGAGGTACTACTATCGTGTCTTTTTATAAATGGGAAACTGAGGAATAGACAGTTTAAGAAAATGTTAACTTTAGCTGACTGCAACTAGGATTTGAACCCAAATAGAATATCTCCAGAATAGTTGTAATCACTATGCTGTTGAGTATGAATTTGAAGGTGTGTGTTTCTGTCTGTGGATGTACAAGTGAATGTGTATATGAAGAAATGAACATTTTTGTACATTTGTTTTGTGAATGCATCTAATACATTTGCCTGTTCATAATAATTTGGAAGCTTAAAAAGCTTACTTTTTAAAAATATATACTGGCAACAAATGTAAATGTGGCATAAACAATGATGAGTTATAGCTTTCCTTCACTACATAAGTTCCATTTGAGAAGAATTTTTTCTCATTGTTGAACCCCAGGACCTATCATAGTAATTGCAAAATACTCTGTGCTCAATAAATACCTGTTGAATGAATGAGTTTAGGAAGAAAATCAGTGGCAACAGAAATGGAAAGAAACGGAAAAATATGAAAAGATCTTCATTTGGTACTAATTGACAACTGATTAAAAGAATGATGAAGAGAAAATTGAGCTGAAATTATTTTTTTTGCCATTGTATGCTTGGAAACTAGGTATATTTTGAACAAATCAACTGGGATAGTGACCATAGAATAGGAATTGGTTGGAGAAGGAATGAGGGTAAGTGTAATTTCTGAACTTTTTGAGTTTTAGAATTGCAGGTAAGAATTTATGTCTCCAACTTACTAGAGCTCCATAAGTATAATATAAAGAATTACATCTATATCTGAAAGAATCTCTCTGATGACTCGGCTTTCTCTTTTTCAGGTCATGAAGCTCAATTGCTCTTTGTGGCAGGACAACAGCATGTCTGTCAAACAATTTGCATTTACCAAATTCTCTGAGGTCACTGAACAATGTTTCCTTTTATTTACCCTCATCCTACTCATGTTCCTAGCATCACTCACAGGCAATGCTCTCATAGCCCTTGCCATCTGGACCAACCCAGTTCTCCATACACCTATGTACTTCTTCCTGGCCAACTTGTCTCTCTTGGAGATTGGCTACACTTGTTCCGTCATACCCAAAATGCTGCAGAGCCTCGTGAGTGAGGCCCGAGGAATCTCTCGGGAGGGGTGTGCTACACAGATGTTTTTCTTTACGTTCTTTGCTATCAGTGAGTGCTGTCTTTTGGCAGCCATGGCTTATGACCGCTATATGGCCATATGCTCCCCACTTCACTATGCAACACGAATGAGTCGTGGAGTGTGTGCCCAGTTGGCAATGATTTCTTGGGGAGTGGGATGCACGGTAGGCCTTGGCCAGACCAACTATATATTCTCCCTGGACTTCTGTGGCCCTTGTGAAATAGACCACTTCTTCTGTGACCTCCCTCCTATCCTGGCACTTGCTTGTGGGGATACATCCCATAATGAGGCTGCAGTCTTTGTGGTGGCCATCCTTTGCATTTCCAGCCCATTTTTACTGATCATTGCTTCCTATGGCAGAATTCTAGCAGCTGTGCTGATCATGCCGTCACCTGAGGGCCGCCAGAAAGCCCTTTCCACCTGTTCTTCCCACCTACTTGTAGTAACACTCTTCTATGGCTCAGGATCTGTCACCTACTTGAGGCCCAAGGCTAGCCATTCACCAGGAACAGATAAACTCCTAGCCCTCTTCTATACAGTGGTCACATCCATGCTCAACCCCATCATCTATAGTTTGCGGAACAAAGAAGTCAAGGCAGCTCTCCAAAGAATTCTGTGGGAGAAAAAGGTTCTGACTCATGAGTAGATCCTAGAGGGTCGTGCAAATCTGCTCTTTGGAAAAGATGCACCCGCAACTCAAGTGTAAAAAAAGAAAGAAGAAAAAACTGTGCTCTTCAATCTGTTTTGTAAAGACCTTTCATACAAGTGATTGTAGTTTTGGGGACATCTCTGTATCCAGAGTTAAAGTTCTGATTGCCAAATTCTGGAAAGAGGTTGGTTATGAAATAATTTTATAGGTGATTCCAACACTAGACAGGTTTTCCCTAATATTTTAGTCTAGGCTTAGAGTATAAATTGTTGGATTATACCTCAGAAGCCTGCCAAATCCTGACTCTATAGTCTTAGGAATTTTCTAACCCCTGAAGGGCCCATCTGACTTCTGCCCCGGTCACTGAGGGGAGTGTTCCCACATACATTTGTCCCACATGACTCTTATGTTCCTACTAACTCTCTGAAGTACATGATTTCCTTTCATTAAAAAAATGTTTTAAAATTCTTCAACCTTAACAATTGGTTGATGATATAATGTTGAATTCTTTATGTGGGTCTGTGTACTATAAAAGTATCTAAACATGCAAAAAAAAAAAAAAAGAAAATTCATGTTTCCTAGATATTTGCTGCACAATATCAAAAGAATTTTGTCAAGGGACCCCATGGTGAAAATATTTTTAAGGACCAACAGAAATCATATTTAAATTCAATAATGGAAGAAGAAAACGGAACTAAAATGATTAACGTAAATAATTTGAAAGACGATTTTGTCATTTTAAAAACTTACATATGTGCAGATGAATCTTGACTCAAATTTGGAAATCATCCAAAAACTTTCTTTTAAGAGAAATGAACATGCTTACAACACATCCAGTAGCGCCTATGGAAGCACTGCCTTGGATTTGAACATCTAATTCTCAGGGACTTGCTCCGATAGCACTTGATCTATGACAGATTAATAACCACTGCTGTGGTAGTTGTAATTCGACAAAAGTGGAGAACTGTGACTGCTACTATGACTCAAGCCTACTCCTCAAATAATGAGATTTAATCTTTCTTGTTGGTTAAAGGGTACAAACTTTCAGTTATAGGTTAAATGAGTTTTGGAGATATGACGTACAGCATGGTGACTATATTTAATCATACTGTATTGTATACTTGAAATTTGCTAAGAGAGTAGATCTTTAGTGTTCTCATTACACACACAGACACAAGTGAAAAGTATGTGTTAATTAAATTGGTTGTGGTAATTGTTTCACAATGGATATGTATGTAAATTCATCATGTTACACACTTTAAATATATGCAATTTTATTTGTCAATTTTACCTCAATAAAGCGGAAAAGTTAAAAAAAGAGAATGTGATAATTCTACTCTCTGGAGATAGTAGTGATTTACACTATTGACCAAGATGTGTATTTTGCCATATATATCCCTATTTTACCAAAAACTATCCAATTCATCCTTTAAACATAGTACCTTGTGATTTTTATTTACATGTATATATAGTAATTAACAATGGAAATAATCTGAACATGCAAAAATAACTTACTGGTTAACAATTATTCCACAGGAAGAGGTGGAAATTATATGTAAGCATTAAAGATGATAATTTATGATTATTAATCTAGAAAAATGATTTATTAAGTATTCAAGCAATTTAAAAGCAATTTGCATAGTATGACCACTTATGTTTAGTTTTATAAGTTTGAAAGAATAAACATGAAATATTTACTGTATACCATCCAGGCATTCATATTACCCATGATTCTTTCTTCTCTCTCTTCCTATGGTTCATGTAGTTCATGTGTAATAGAAATATGAAAATATTTAATTGTAGACATTTTTCTTATGATAAATATAATACATGCTTTTTACAGCAAATTTATAAAACACATAAAGTGTAAAAATTACAATTTAATTCATTTATATTCCTTCAATCCAGGAGTAGCCAATGGAAATATTTGATTTATTTTATTTTAGCCTTTTCTTTCTGCTAACCACATACACACACGTCGCTTCTCATGATAGATTATGTTATCAAACATATACTGTTTTGAAAGCAGCTGAATATCTGAAAATCACCAAAAATGCATCTTTTAGAACATTTTGGTGTTTAACATTCTAAATATCTACTTTATCATTAATTAGCTTGCCATAAATATTTTCTCTATTAAATAATCCTGACTGTTGATAATAGTTAGAAATCCCTTGCTAACTCTGATTCAAACTCTGTTCTCTTTGATTTCAAAGAACCTTTGGAGTGCGTTATCTTCAGCACTAGCTATAACTACACCACCAATAACAATAATAAATGTATTGTCTAATTTAACCTTCAAAACCACTGTACTATTATTGTCCTTATCTACACACGTGGAAACCGAAGAACAAAGACTGGAGCAGCTCATCCCCGCAAGTAAAATATGGACCAGTATTCAGTCCAGGCGATCTGGTTTCAGAACCCAGGGTGTGGCTCTGCTCTGTGGTTTCTAAGAAGGCTTATTCTATTAATTCTGATTCCCCACATTCTTTGTCACTGAGATAAATAAGAATGAAAAGGACCAAACGGCTCTGGAGAATGTCCCTGCTAGGTAGGCATAGCCCTAGTGTTCAGGCTGCTTTCTAACTTGCGAGATTTTCTGGCTGATTTTATTTTATTTATTTTTCTTTTTGAAAGTCTCTCCTTTGGTTTTAATCAGCATATGTGATGTAAACAGCAACTTCTGACTTATATTTAATAATAATCCTAAAGAAATCCTATGCAATACCTGAAGTGACCACTATCTTTTTTTATTTAAATATATATGACATATAACAATGTGTAAATTTATTAAATATATAAAGCTTATATTTATATATTTATATGTAATTATATATATTAATTATATATAATTAAATATTAATAAAATGTAAATATAAAGGAATATTTTCTCCCACTGCTAGGTTTTCTTCTCATTTTGTTGTTTGTTACTTCAAACTAAAAATATTCTGCACAACACAGGAAACCATCAACAAAATGAAAAGACAACATATCAACTTGGAGAAAATATATACAAATCATATATCTGACAAGGGGTTAATTTCCAAAATATATAAAGAACTCATACAACTCAAAAACAAAAAAATGAACTGGATCAGACATGAGACTGAGGATATAAGCAGACAATTTTCCAAATAAGATATACAGGTGACCAACAGGCATGAAGAGATGTTCAACATCTCTAACTATTAGGGAAATGCAAATCAAAACTACTATGAGATACCCATCAGAATGGATGACTCATCCATCAGAATGGCTATAATTAAAAAAGACAAGAAATAAGTATTGGAGGGGATGTGGAGAAAATGGAACTCTCATACACTGCTGGTGGGAATGTAAGCTGGTTCCACCACTGTGAAAATTAGTATGGATATTTCTCAAAAGCCAAGACTTGCAAGCAACCCAACCTATACATAGATATATATACACACCACCATATATATATGTATGTATATATATAAATATATATAAATAATATATAAATATATAAAAATACATAAATAAATATATATTTATACAGACATATATATGAATATACACATACAATGGAATACTACTAAGCCATATAAAAGACAAAATTGTGCCATTTGCCACAGCATGGCTAGACCTAAGGGTATTATGCTAAGTGAAATAAATTAGACAAAGACAAACACCATATGATTTCACTCATATGTGGAAGATAGCAAACACATAGATAAGGAGAATAGATTGGTGGTTACTGGAAGGGGTCGGGGGAGGGTGACAGTGGTAAAAGGGCTCATATGTACTGTGAGGGATGGAAACTAGACTACAGTTGATGAACACAATGCACTCTCTACAGAAGCTAAAATATAATAATGTACACCTAGAATTTACACAATGTTATAAATCCATGTGACTTCAATAAAAAGAAATATAAGAAGGCTACAATGAACTTTGTGATGTTGAATTGTAATTGGCAGTATTGGTATAATCTCATGGTTTTATATATATATATCATATCTATCTATCAATAAATATGTATATTTATATCATATTTATCTATATTTATATTATATCTCTAATATATATTTATATCATATCTACCTATATGGAGAGAGGAAAAGAGAAATGGGCATAAACGTGTGTGTGTGCATGAGTTAGTATAATAAATATATATATTTATAAACATATAAAATTTGTTTATATCTTACATATATTTATAAACTTATAAATATATTTACATAATAAACATATATATTTTCCTGTCTGCTGAGTGAGCCTAGAAACAATGGTGTCCCAGTAACAAACAGCACACGTAGTACCAAAACTTGGTATCTAAATACAATTCCCTAATAGATAGAGCCAGGGCTCCTAGGAGAAGGGGTGGAGTCTAGGTCTGAAGCAAAGAAAATACAAAATGAGCCTGGAAAATCTTGTGGTGCCAGAAAATAAGAAAGTGTTTGAGAAAGGATGAGGATATGTTGAAAGGAGGCAGGAGCCAACATGAAGCAACTCCAAATGGCTAAAGTTGAAAAACTTTGAGGAACAAAATAAATAATGATTGCATTGGATTATAACTCATAAAATAAAATAAATGTCTGTTAGCCCATCTTTACATAAAAGAAGTGAAGAAAGAAAAAAAGAAAGAGTCAACTCTTCTTTACAGAAGAATCCCAATGATAAATGTAGATTGAATGAAAAAAGTACAAAATCACCATTAGTCAAACACCACAGTAATAATTGTCTCAGGCAAATTCCATTGATGGATGCTAAAATCTGTAGGTGACAGTTTGAGGAGAAACAGAACATTTCCATATTTTCTTTGAGACTAGGAAAGTATTCATAACCTATGCAAAGTTATTTATTAATTACAAGAGGAAAAACAGTAATATTTCAGTGGAGACACCTTAAAGACATCTTCTAATCAAGTAATCAAGGTCAACATACTGATGTTCTATACCCTTTGTTATGATGAGCTAAAAGGACACAACATCACTTCTGTGGTAATTGTGCCCCACGTGCTTAACCTCAACCTAATAATGAGAAAACATTAGGCAATCTCAAATTAAGAGCTAGTCTACAATTAACTGACCAGTACTCTTTAAAAGTGCCAAGATCGTGAAAGACAATAAAAGACTGATGAACTGTCATAGACTGGAAGAGATTCAGAGACAGAAGTAAATGCAGTTTAGGATCTTGGATTGGATCCTGTTTGGAAAAAGGACAGTAGTGGAAAAACTAGTGAGATTCTAATTAGGGCTGTGGTTTACGTAACATGCAGTGTTGTGATAATTTCCTGATGATAATTTCCTGGTTTGGATAATTACTACTTTGGACATATAGAATGTTAACATTAGGGAAGCTGGGTGTCAGTTCCGTGGGAACTCTCTCTACTATTTTTCTGACTTTTCTGAAAATTTGAAATAATTCCTCAAAAAAAAGTTTAAA